TATTACTTCAGATGGCCGTCGTTCCCGAGACAAGATTACGATACGAGTTTCCATACAGATCGGAGATGCCCAAAGAGTTTGAACTCAACAATCCTTATCTGAACTCGATGCTGTATGAAGCAGCCTCTCTCTATTCTCAACACCAAACATCAGAGACAAACCTACCCGGGCATCTCGCTATTCTGGGTTCCGAAGAGCAAAGAAGCCTTTACTTGAAGCCCTTCCATGCAGCGCAAGTATTCGATCCTCTGCTTTCCGACGTCAAAGTCTCAGCGTGGACCAGCGTCTGTGACGACGACAAGCTCATGCGAGACCTTTTAAGTGTACTTTTCCGTTGCGAGTACCATTTCACAGCAGCCTTTCACAAGGACTTATTCCTGGAAGACATGGCAGCGCGTCGTAAAGACTTTTGTTCTTCACTGCTTGTCAACATAACTCTTGCATATGCTTGCGTAGGATACCACTCATAATGACATAGTCAACATTGTTTACATGCTCATCAGGTCTGTTACCCTAATTTTACCAACCGTGTCGAGTATTGGAATCCGAACACTCTTGCCTATCGCTTCATTGCCGAGGCCAAGCGACTATGGGAGCTGGAGGCTTCTATCCCGCGTATGACTACCATCCAGGCAGGTATCCTTTTTAGTGTGTTTCATAATCTCTGTGGGCTAGACGCAGTTGGGAAACCTTATAGGGTACACGCTGTGGCTTTGGCAAACCAGCTTCGCATCTTCGACACCATCGACATTGATCAGAGTAAGAGGGTACAGAGGGGCATGCAAAACCTGGCTTGGGCTATGTACAACTGGGAAACGTGAGTACTTTTTCACACCTTTGGTCGTGTACTAACGATAGGAGTCTCTCTGCTTTCTCGTTCATGCTGTCGCCGCTCATCAAGGAGCCACCAAAATGGCCGCTTCCAGATCCTTCAGAAGATCCGTCGTGGTATGGCGAAATATGGGTCAAATACCCATTGAATCACGGCCTTTCACCGATGTATCTTGGTCAAGTTATCCATGCTCGGAGCCAGTTTCGGATCATCATGAATGAGTTTTGTGACGCAGCATTCTCAGAAGGTTCCAAGGTAGGAGTTAACCTGGCGTATCAGTTCCGCGAAAGGCTGGAAGAATGGTACGAAAACTTGCCCGCATCTCTAACTCCAAGGAGGATTGTTCTTCCTGGGCAGCTACAACTACAGTAAGTGCTTCATGCGCTGCCTTTCACTTTTATACTTAGTCCAACATGGCTTTCAATATGCACTGAAGGGAGTTGCTGACTGCGTCGCAGTATGTACTATCACCACTTACTTTTGACGATCTTCGAGCCTCTTTATGATGCAGAAACGACTCAAGAGCCTTCCCCACGGCGTATCGTAGCCGACTCGAAGAAGAACATGCAGACACTTGTCAGACTGTACTACCTCCGACATGGTTTTGAAGCAATGGACCTCTTCATCGTCATCCCTTTGATGGTGATGGGTTATGACAGCATAGATGCCATCAAGGAGGATACGCCAACAGAAGAAATTGAGTTGCTACGATCGACTCTCATTCTAATAGCCCAAGGCCTCTACTACCAACGAAGAAACCACTACTTGGCGCAAGCACTTTTCACAGTCATTCGAGGCAAAATGCGCCCGCAGGAGATTGGCTTACTGAAGAGTTCGATGGCGTTGGATAAATACGAGACTGATCCAGAGCCAGAGATGGCAGTGGCTGTTCGAAGTCACTGGCCAGTGAGCGTTGTTAAGAAGCATGAGGACATGGAGTCACACATCCTGACCAATCTGGTGGAGAACTTTGGTCGTGTCAATGTTGAGGAAATCCCATGATGTCTTTTGGGCTGAGACGATAGATAGATGCTAGGGGATGGAGGTAAGAAAGGACCTGTGCTGGGCGAGAAAGAGCTGTGTACACGATATTAAGAAGCTCTATGCTTTGGTCATCGTAGACGAATAATGGCCTCCTTATATATATATTGTCCTGGAGAATGTTGAAGTTGAGGAAAGAGTCTACAAAGCAAGACAGAAGGCGCGCTAGCTGGATACACTGCCGACTAATGCTTTGACGATACTTTCTGTTGACTAAATGGCTAGGTGGAAAGACTTTCCTTCCTTTAGCCATATGATCTTTGTTCACCCTCACTCTCCATGTCAGGTGTAGCTGGGAAATTGGGGCAGCTTATGACACAGTCCTTTTGAGCACATCGTCGACAGCCTCCTTCTGAAGCCCGATTTCGTGCAGCTTCTTCACCTCACTGGCATTGACCTTGCTTTCAAAGTATCCTCCACTCCCCTCCCGGAAATGAGTAAGGAAGAACTTGACAAATGGGGCAGTGGCATCTTTCTGCTGAATCTTGTCGTTACAATCTTTCAGTGCATCATTCACATCTTGGTAGTCTATCTCCCAGTCTTGGTCCGCCATCCCTGTTTCCTTTTGAACTGCTTGTAAAAGCTCCTTCTGGGTTAGATGGAATGATGGGACATAGAAAGCCATGTTCTTATACCGAGACAAGTCCTATCCTGGGAGGCTCAATACTGCAGCTGTAGCCTGACCAGTCTGTGCAACACTCGACGTGTTGACCATGCCAACGGCTCCAGTCCAAATCGTAGCTTTGCCGTTCTCAACATCGATGCCCCAAAGATCACTTTTGATGTTCATGTCGAGGAACGGACCGACAGCTACTGAGATCCAGCTGCTCACACCGAGTTCCTCAATCAGATCGCCGATCTTTTTCTTGTCTTGCAGTAGTTGGTTTCCCCTTATGAGCTTTGACGCGAAAGGGTCTGGACCAAACTCTGCAGGTAGGATATATGGAACTCCAGCTTTTGCTGCTGCTCGAACTGCTGGCTCTTGGAGACTGACAAGTTGAGGGAGAGGCGGCATGAGCACGACAGCATCGTGCCCTTGGAAGGTGCTCGCCAAGAAGGACTCGTCTTTCAGATTACCAGATTTGGCGATGACTTCAGGTGGAAATGTGCTTGTTGCCTCGATGCGCTAAACGGCAGTAATGGTATGAATGCCTGGTGCGAGAAGAGTCTTGACTGTCGGTTGTCCAACCTGGCCGCTGGAGCCGATAATGGCAATTTTGCGTCCCTGTGCTTGGCCTGACATGGTAGACTGAGATAGTTCTGTGTGGGCTTGAACTCTTTCGCTCAAGGGCTGTAGCTCGAGTACTTTATTCTTTTCTCCTCAAACGCCTACTAGGCATATACGTCATCGATCTACGTCGTGTTCGATGTACGAAGACGCGATAGGACAGCAGTTCTGAATGCATTAAAGCAGAATAAGAATGCACGGCAGGGCTCGTGCAAGTTAAAGCTAGATCCAGAGATATAATCGACCAGGATTACCAAAAATTGACAACTCGATGCAGTGATGTTCAGAAGAGACTACCCCCAGGTTTTGAAATGGAGTGATGGAGATTGTTAATGAAAGCGATGAAGGAGGGCATAGACTACTTCTATTTCCGCCGTTTTGATGCGCATAGATGAGTACCGTGCTGCCCCACCGTAACATTTGCTAACAGGCATGATAATGCCCCGCCTCGAGTCTGCCCTGATGCGGGGATGACGGTTCGGGTTGATGACATTGCGTTAAGTCCGAACTCATGATATAAAGGCCGATTCCATGAAACCCGCTTCATAACCTCTGATCAACTATAAAACTCACCTTGCCTCGAAGCACAGGTTTATCACTCCCCAAGCCATTGTCTAATACAGCAAAAATGTCTCCAACCGACGTCTTCAGCCCAGGCTCTACTGCATTGATCACGGGAGCTGGCTCAGGCATCGGTCTGGCCATTGCCAAAACATGTCGCAGCAAGGGTATGTGCACATTGCTCGTCGACAACAACGAGGAAGCTCTGGAAGCTCTGACTAAGACGCACTTCCCCAATGACTCTGACGTCGTTACCTCCAAGGTTGATGTCTCATCGACCTCGGACTGGCAGGCGCTGAAGAAGCTCGCCTTGGACAAGTTTGGCAGCATTGAGTTCTTGGTCTTGAACGCTGGCCGAGGTTTGAGGGGCACCTGGGGAGATGATGATTACTTCAGAGATGTAAGTTGAAAAATGCAATGGCGCGACAAATGCTAACGAACAAGACCCTTGAAACCAATTTATTCGGTGTCATTCATGGCATAAACACGTTTCTCTCCGTGGTCCAAGACGCCGCGAAGTCAAAACCAACGAGTATCGTCATCACTGGTAGCAAGCAGGGTATTACCAACCCACCTGGAAATCCAGCATACAACGCCTCCAAAGCTGCAGTCAAGACTCTTGCTGAGCATTTGAGCTGGGACCTGAAAGATACAAGCACCAGCGTGCATCTGCTTGTGCCCGGATGGACTTACACTGGTCTGGTAAGAAATCACTGCCGTTTTTAGGGTAACTGACTGACGATGTTTACAGACAAGGGCAACGCCGGATGGTGTGAAGCCAGCTGGAGCTTGGACAGCGGAACAGGTGGCAGATTATCTCTATGAAAAAATGGGTAAGAACGAATTCTACATCATCTGCCCCGACAACGATGTTACAGAGGAGCAGGACAAGAAGCGTATGACCTGGGCTGCAGGTGATGTTGTTCAGAGACGGCCGCCTTTGTCTCGATGGCGTGGCGAGTGGAAGCAGGAAGCTGAAGAAACCATGGCTAAGATGGATCTCTAAAATCATGGGACTTGAAGTGGCGAGTAATTGACAAGATATAGCAACCCGAGTCATCAGTGAATATAAAACAAGCTATTCGGTACCTTGAGAATCAATTGGGTGTTGAATCGATAGTGTCATCGTGCAGTCCAACATGAGTCTACATATCAACGAGTAAGTTATATCCCAGTTTTGTATCGTAGGCGACGATGACTCCCGAGAAGCTCAAGGAGGGATTGCCCCACAATACTGATGACCTACCATGTCGAACGATGCCGCAGAGTGTCGCGAATCTGCCAAAAAGCCAAAAAAGCTCATCAAACACGTCCTGACGAACCAACCATCAAAAGGTTCGATACACCAGGGACTCGAACCCTGAGCCTTAGTCTTAGGAGGACTACGCGCTACCATTGCGCCAGCGCACCGGAGCTATTTTTAGAGGTATTCGTGTCGTATTTGCGATTATGTTGATGTTAAGATTGGAGTTTTGGGTTTGCGCCACCACGTCAAACTTTGACCTCAAATTGGAGTTTTCGAGCAATAGGCTACTTATTACCGGTCGGTTTTAGCTATTCTGGACTCCTGAATCAGTATTCTGTTTATTTGATGCTGGTATTGAATGTCATGCGTATGCCGCCAAACTCCACTGTGGACCGAGGTATAAGTGGCGTGGAGCCCACAGCCTAAACATTGATCAAACTGAGAAGGCCAATACTTGAATTGAAACAGTTGAGATTTGCCAATTTTCCAACGCCAGTATATCCTCAAGATTGCATTCTCTCAATTGTGGCAGGCAACTCCTCCATCCCCTCCAGAAAAGCAGCAAACTCTCCTTTCACCTTCTCCATATCCTCATCAACATCATCCGTCCAACGATGAATGTAAATCGTCTTGATTCCAACATTTTGAGCTCCTCTCAGATCGTATGCGTGAGCCGCAACCAACACAACTTCTTGAGGCTTGAGCTTGACGAGTCTCAACGCCTTGTTGTACGCCTCGGGATCTGGCTTGTACGTCCCCAACAGTTGGCTGGAGAAGAGCATATCGAAATTGAGCCCAGCGAAGCGAGTCAGGTCTAGCTGCAGACGTGTCGTACCATTGGCGTGAACAAAGACTTCCAGACCAAGATCTTCTCGGATCGACTGAATTGCCTTTCGAACTTCTGGCCAAGCTGGCTGAGAATGCCAGGCAGTAATCAATTGTTCTTTGATTGGCGCATCGAAATGCTGCTTATACTCTGGTGAGTCTTCCAGTACGTTGTCAAGCACGCGAATGAGTGTGTCATCTATATCTTCGGGCTCAAGCTTTTGGGCAAGGCGCTCGCTGTTGGCAATGAAGTAACGTCGCCGCCATTCAAGAGCGAGTTTGGAAGCTTCGGCTTCGGGAATGGCGGGGGGTAGAGCCTGCACGACACTACTGTGCCAATCAAGGCATGTCCCCATGAAGTCAAAGAAGACTGCTTTTATTTTTGCTGGTTGCGACATGATGCTGAAACTTTTCTAATTGTTGCAAGCATACCAAGGCTAGTGGGGAGAATTTAGCATATAAATATTGCAAATGCTGCGCATGATTGTTGAAGATGCTCGCTTATGGTATGACGTGATTAGAAATGATAAAACGACCTGCTTATTTCGCTCACGGCGGTACGCCCTTTAGATGATTGGTTCCATCCTAAATTGTGGTCTGTCAGTCAGCTTAAGCTCGACACGATAGGATCAAAGACTTGGAACAGCATCAAAACTGTCAATAAATCGAGGCCTCATTGGAACTCGAGTCATGGGTCTATCAATTAACATAAATTCGATATGAAAGAATTGTTCATCCACATATTTATTATGAAAAGCTTAGCTAGACCACCATGGTAGAAATAAACTCATCCACTTGCAAGAACTGGAGGTAGAGACAGCTCGTGGTTCTTGATGATAACATCCCATAGCGCCGATAGCTCCCCACTTGGAAGTTTGTCATCTTCCTTGATCCTTCGAATATCATGAAAGAAATTGTCGCCCTCGGCTCTCAAAGTCCTCGGTATCGTCTCCATATCAGGAAAGTTGAAGAATGCCACGATGGACACTTTAACTTCATTCCCGCTGATATCAACGTCGTGGAATGTCGGAATGAACTCATTGGCCCAGCGGTAGAGCGTTGAGCCACCCATCATGATCGTGCCTTTATGTCCTGGAAAGCGCACGGTTCCATCGAGGTCATAGACCCGAAGTCCTGGCCCGTTTGTGATGAGGGCAGAGAGGAGGTTGCCATCTGGATGAAGGCCAATGCCGCCCGGAGCACCAGCATGAGGCGTGTACTTGATAGCACGATAGCGAACCGTACATCGCTGTACCAAGTCTGGGTCAATACCAACAGCCATACTAGTCGTTACCAAAGCACTGTCGAGAGCAGACTTCAGACAATGTGCCGATTCTCGAGTTCTGACATCATGCAACGCTTGAAGGCCCGTAAGGCCATCTTTGAGATCACCATCAAATTTGGCAATGTCGGTCTCAGAGTCCAAGAAAGGATGGCCAATGCCCTGACTGGCAAACCAGCAGGACTTGCGCCATACCACTTTCTTATCAGTACCCTCGTAGGATAGCGAGTGATCAAGATCGCTGAGGTAAGAGCCGAGGTCTTGCATTGCTTGTTCAATGCGTTGTTCTTCTTGGCTTCCCCAAGGGACTACATATTCTTTGCCCGCCTTGAAGGCAGTTTGGATGGCATGGCTTTCTTTTGCTGGATGGACGTCAGCTTTCTGAACCTCAGTAAGAAATTGGTGCACCACCTACACATTGCTCCTGTCTGAGAAGTAATTGGCTGATCGAGGCTCGCGTGATGGCTAGAGCCGGGTATCATAGAATCAAGCATAGACATGGTTATGTTGGATGTGCTTGAGGGAAGCTGGTATGTCCATCCAACGTCCAGCAGATAATTTGTGTATTTAATCCTGCTAGGCCATGCTCATCCTAGTCTGGCATCACCCCGCCAAGTGTCATTACCGTCTCCATCCGAATGCATGTCTCACTGCATTCGTCTATCCACTCCATTCACTTTCGGCACAACGCCACACCGTGACGATCGTGAAACTATGCTGAACTGCCGGTTTCCCCGAATCACACATGTCATTGTACAGCTACATACGTGTCTACTCTGTGTAACGCGAACCCCGCGTTCGGCGTTTCTTACTGTGCGGCCTCGGCGATCTCTTTGAGTACCCCGTCGATGCTGTCCATCGTCAATGACCGTATGTGTACATCCCTGCTTTTGAAGAGTTCTGCCAGTCTTGGACAGTATGTTTCTAATCCCTCTGCTAATTGGGCTCTGGATAATGCCTGTCCATTGTCTGGTAATCCATATTGAAGTAACCAAATTTGCTTGTCTGGAAGGTCAGTTGTCAGCTTTGAACAGTCTGAGATCATGTCTCTCTTGCGCTCACCACTTCTGAGACTCATCTCCCATTCCCATCTATGAATGTCATATGGATTCGTAAACCTGTCCCAGTCGCCTGGGGCAGCGAGAATAATGATTTGAGACACGGACAAGAATGTGTTGGAAATCCTCTTGGTCACTTCTCCAGCTTCCGTGCTTCTCGTCATCTGGTGTTGGTCAAGCCATATGCGACGGCTCTTCTTTTCGATCATCTCAGCGACCAAACGCGCCATGACTCGGCCTCTCTCGTATAAATCTGGTGATAGCCATCGATAGAAAATGATGTAGTCATATGCGTATGTTGTTTCTACGCCTGGGTCGTTCGCGTCAGTCGGGAATCTGGATCGTGACGGACAATTGGACTCACTCAGACAGCTCTTGGACAAGGGTAAATGAGCCTCCACGGCAACAGCCGGCTTGACGCTCAACATTTTAGTCTTATGTTGTCCCTGACCTCAAAATGAGTAGCTTTTAGTGCGTGTATAAACAATTGTAAACGCAAATTCGATCCCATGGAGATTGAGGCACCAAATAGATGTTTAATACTCTTGTCCGTCTTAAGTTTTCAAGTTCTCATCTTTTCAATGTCTCTTTTCTTATACCGCTGCCCTACAGTAACGTACACAGTATATATGCCGGAACCAAGAAACTTCACAGCCGGCATATGTACTGACTTCAGCAGCCTCAATGTGACAGATCATTGCTTATTCTGTGGCATCATTCCAATCCCCGTTTTCCCCATCCAACCCAGTAGCGAAAATAGAGAGTATGGGATGGTGATGTCTCAGCTGCACACGATCTTTTACCGCTTCCAGGTTGTTGTCTTACGCTGTACGCCAGCCACTTTCAGGTGGACGGGCCAACCCGTGCATTAGTGTATGCAGAACGCCGTACAATGGGTAACGCGTAGTAAACTGAGTTCGTTCTGTGGAGGACGGGTCGCGGAAGCTGAGAGATCTGCAAACTGTATCTGAGCGCTTTGCGGTGTAGGGTCTAGGTGGAGGAGATGGACCGTCGATCGATCTCGGAGCTTCAGCTTTCGTGGGGCAATGTGAACCAACGATTTGCAACTTGGCAGAACCAGGACCCAGGATCAACAGCATCTTGCCACTGCAGCTTTCAACTTCGCATGTATTTGAGAGCTGAAAGGAGAGTTTTTGTTTGTAGATCCAGTCTATCTAGAATTGCAGGAGCGCAGGATCTCTGAGGAAAAGAGGCATTTGTAGGTGTTTTCGTCGCGGCATACTTTAGGTTAGCACGTCATTTCTCACCATGATCTTCATGGACAACCAGTGGTCGTACAGGGTGATTTGATGATGTGACTGCTACAAATGCCATAGTACCAACTAAATACCTTTATTATAAATGGTGGTGGAAACTGGCTGGAAAAAAAGTTTTTGTGATAGCGTGATGAAGGGACTTGCGACTGAAGCTTTCCGTGGGATAGTTACAGTGGTCATCTCGGAAGAAATGTCTTTCCGGCCAAACACCCTCGAGTCATTTGACTTGAGACATATTGACGTGTCCCAGACATACAATTTTCACCGCGCAGGCAATTTGTCGACAAGCTGGGTTCTCCCTTCACTGGCAGTGCTCTTCCGATGCCAAGGCGGCTGCTGAACCAAGTTCTCGATGTCTCAGATCACAGGCTGTTTTCCAAGACGTCATCAATCTCAATCTTGAGGCCTGGGTAAGCATTGTCTAGTCCAGCAATTAATTCATCGTCGCAATTTTACAGATTCAAATGCTGGACTGTTGAGTGAACTTTCGGCACTTCTCATTGACAGGTGTCGGTGACTGCCAGAGTGAATCAGCTCACCATTTGAGGCGTTTGGACAGCAAGAGTCTCCTCCCTGCAGACGGGGGAATCAGACAAGGGTAAACAACTGCCAAGGAAACAGCAGAAAAGGCTGGTAAAACACCAACGCTCGATGCAGGCACGGTCTACGGTATTTATCCCACTCACTCAAGGTTGGATAAGCTTTCATCCCGCAAGTCAAAT